TGCCTCTGATTCTGGACTTCTCCCTGCCACGGACTCCCCCCGCTCACTAAGCCCTGTTGCCTCTTCAGCTTCTGACACCTCCTCCTCCCAGTCTTCTCCCTCTTTTCCCTTTGACCACTCATTACCGTCTCTCCACCATTCCCCAGACTCTGGGCCTTCTTCCCTCCTCAACTGGTTCCTCGCACCATTCCTCTGCATCTACCAGTCCATGAAACTTAAGGACAGATTCCTGATGGCTGAGATTCTCTGATGGGGCACTTCTGGTTGTTCCCCATGCGACCCCTGAGGTTCAGTTGGCCATCGCTAGGGACTGAGTCTTTAGTGTGGCAGGCCAGCCCCTGTGAAGCTCCCTAGCTGTACAGGTTCTGTAGGAACCATCCTTCGCTTCCTTCAGGAGTCCCTTGAAGATTTTCTTATTTGCACAGGCGTAAAAGCCCTCCCCATCTTTTAAGTGTGAGGCCTGATGATCTGACTGCAAAAGAAAGAAACCTATTCCTTTATATTTAATTGTACAGGGGTCTTATGGAATTGATTGAGAGCTTAGCCTTTTACAATACCCAGTGAATAAGAAACGTTCCTGACAATCAATCAATGATAGGATAATCACTCTTTATTCCCCTTCTCCCCCCCCTCCCCATCCTTCATTGTTACCTCTTTCTTTCAGGAGAAGAGGGTTCAGAAGCCAAAAATCTTTATAGACGCCACTTTTAAATTAAGCAGAAAATAGACATTGACATATTTGTTAATCTCACCTGGATCATTACCGGGGCTGGCTCGACAACACAAGGGTGGCAGACAGTCTGGAATACATGAGTGTTTGCTTCCTTAACAACTGCTGCTGTCCTGCCAAAAAAAAAAAAAAAGGATTCTTTAAAAAAAAGCAATAGAAAAGAAGGCAGCACATTACTGTATTGTAGTAGTAAAAGTTGTTGAGGTGCGCTTGGCTTATGTTAGAAGAATGCAGCGGCACAACATGAAAATGTAATGCTGCAGTTATGAAGCATGTGCATCTCACACGCTGTCAACTCCAGCACATTTGCGTGCAGAGGTCAGTGTTGTATATTTGCACACTTTAGAATAGGTCCTGGTTCTGGGGGCTGCCTTAACCGCCCCCCCCTTTCCCTGCCTTGCATCTGATCAAACCTTTCTTTCCTCCGCTCTGGTTCCCCCCCCCCGCTTGTGTCATGCATCTTCCAGGGAAGGGCAGAGCATCTGCTTGGCATGCAGAAGGCCCCAGGTTCAACCCGTGGCTGGGAGAGAGCTCTGCCTGAAACCCCAGAGAGCCACTGCCAGTCAGTGTCAGCAGTACTGCTCTATTTGGTCCAATAGGCTGACTTGGTCGAAGGCACCTTCCTAGTGTTCCAATGACTCCAGTTAAGATCTCCTGTTTCTCCCCCCACCTCCATCATGCTCTGGCTTAAACAACTGACAGCTAGTGATGGATGAGCAATCTCCAGCTCGCCCCACAATTAATTTGGTTTCATAACCACCCACCCACCCCAGAAAAATCTGTGAAACAGCCTCTGTCTGTCTGTCTGTCTGTCTGTGCTTTCCCCAAGAAGGTTTGGGGATTTTCCTTTAGTTTTATTCAAACGTAGATGTCGGAACCTTCAACAACACGTGTTCCTGGGCCGCAGTGTGGTTAGCAGTGCTAGTACAATAAAATAAAACATTTCTTAAAAGCAGTAGACAAGTTGCCCACATGTCAACAAAGTGGGCCCCTGGCGAGGCTGCTTGGAGAGAGGATTTCAGATACAAGGTGCCACCACTGAAAAGTCTCTGTAGTTGGCTCCTGCCTTATCTTTTATGGTGGAAGGCATCCATGGGAGAGCTAGGGAGGTGGTCTTCAACTCACTTTTCCAGTTCCTACTCTCTGCTCTCCAACCAAGCCTTTGTGAGTGGCGGGGTGTGGGTGTGGGTAGGACTGGTGACAGGGAGGGGTTCCTATAGACAGGAGAAGTGCAGTAGGCCTCATCCTTCAGCCATCAGTGACTCTTGGCATGTCCACAAGACCTAATAATAATTGTATTATATTGCTCTTTAATGTTGTTGTTGCAGACTTGTAGCTAGCTGTGCGTTACCTAAGAGGTCTTCAAATGGCTTACATTTAAAACCATAAAACTTAAATATATTGCACCACAGAAAATAAATTTAAAAAATCATACCAACACTTTTATACAGCATGCAAAAAGCAGCCCCTTCCCCCAATAACAGCCATAGGACGCTTTGACAGCACACTGACAGTAGAACAGAACTGGCTTAATCCACCAAGGGCCATGCAGGGGAATGATAAGTCTTTACCTGGCACTGAACGGATGCTAATGATGGTGCTAGGCAGAACTATCTGGGGTGAGTGCTTCAGAGATGGGGAGCCACCACTGAAAAGGTCCTCTCCCTTGTCATCGTCCTCCCTGCCTTCCTTAGAGAAGGGGCCTAGAAAAAGGGGCCTTTCCTGTTGTTAATGAAACCTCCCTGAGGGACAGGCAGAGATAACTGGCCGGTAGCAAACTTGGCATACGCCAGGCTCACTCTGAAGGGGCAGAGGGTTACTCTGAGGTTCTGAAATGGCATGTATAGGGAGCAGGCGGCCTTCCCCTCAGTGCCAAACGGCACGAAACACTTGTCATGTGTTTTTCCCGTGTTGCTAATTTAAATAGTGTGGTGGGCCAGTTGCATGCACACGTGTGTGTATGGTTAAGCCTTTGTGTGCCCACTGTGGTTCCAGCTGGAACTGTCCTCCCCAAAGACCTGCTATTTGCAGTGGGAAGAAATACGATGGCTATTCTTGTTTTCCCCAGCATGGCCCCCAGGAGAAATGGCTCCAGTGCACAGGCCAACTCAGCTTCTGTTTGGCTTCATTCCGAGGTGCACATACAATGTTAAATGCAAATTCCAGCATTAGATTCCAGCCATAGTCGAGTGTGGCTAAGCTTATTAAAATCCTCATTGGATCAAAGGGCGCACAGTGACTGACTCAGTCTATCAGCACCCTGCTTTGAGCTGTCCATGGTGCTAGCTCTGAGTGGGCCTTGTAGCCAAGCGCATTGCAGTGAGCTGCCCATGGTGCTGCCTTTATGGGTCATCATTCATTCATGTTGCACTGAGCATAGCGCTGTTTCTAAACTGGCCCTGTATTTTTTATTCTTAAAAAGAATTTATAGACCAGTTAAAAACAACTGCACATATGAAAACAGTTAAAAGTAGTTCTGTTGCAGATGCAGAGTGAGATGAAAAAAATCAACTGAATGCATGTATTTTGACATTCAGATCCCAGTTTGATTGGAGGTTATTTAACCCATTGGGTTCTTTTTGTTGGGGCTGGGTAGATATTGGTCCAGTCCGGAAATGCAGACCTAATCTCCTGAAAGCAGGGGTGGGCAGCCTGTGGCTCTCCAGGTGTTGCTTGATGAGGCAGGTGGGAGTTCCACCACATCTGGAGCTTATATAACTCAGCAACAGGGTCAGAATTTTCTGAATGAAGCAGGTGGGATTGTCTAACAGGGATATGTGTGTGCTTCTTTCTTGTCCCACACAGATCCTTGTGCTTCGCCCAAGAATGCTGTTCTCTGTCCCTCCAACTCATTTCATCTCCTTATCCTCTGTCCTTCAATTCCTTCCCTGCAACCCTGCTCTGTAGCTTGGAAATTCAAAATCTAGATCTTGGAAGCACCGTAGATTATGGCGTGTGAAGCTGCGATCTCTGTAGATTTGCATGCATTTTATAAATGCAGTCTGCTCTCTCGCTCTCTCTGTGTGATTGACTCTGCTCTGAGTCTGTATCAGAACTATTGGGTTGGATAGCAGGACACTGAACTGGCCAAGGATATAATGGTGTGAAAATGAGGGGCTCTTTGGGCTCATGGGACCTTCTGCCTATTTTTCTTCAGGGTCTTGGAACATCTACAGTGTCCCTGTATCTTCTGTGCTTTTCTTCTTCTGCGCCTTGGGATCTCTGAGGTCTTGAGCTCGCTTATTCGCCTGTGAGGGAACCCGAGTAAATACTTGTTTCTAAGCTGTAGGGGTGGAGGAGCTGAGAGTGGTTTTTTTTGTTCCCTGCGGCTCGTTCCTTCTGCTTCTTTCTCTCTCTCTTCTCCCCTGCGGTCTCTGACAGGTATCCTTTTTTGTTGTTGTTGTTTGATTTTAGGCACCCCGGAGCTAAGCCCAGCTGAGCGGAAGGAACTGGAGACCAAGCTGAAGGAACGGGAGGAATTCCTAATTCCCATTTACCATCAGGTAGCAGTGCAGTTTGCTGACTTGCACGACACGCCCGGCCGGATGCAGGAGAAGGGTGTCATTACGGTAAGTACGATGAATCCTTTTCTTGCTGCTGCTGCTGTCAAAAGCTCCGGCGTGCACAGACATCCTTTGAATGGTCACTGAGGAGGTCCTCACAGCCCCAAATTTCAAAGAAGCAGGGGTGGGTGGGGGAGCCGTGGCCAGCTGTGGTTTATACTAACCATGCGGCATTAATATTAAAATTTTGGAAAGGAAAAGAGAGTTTCAAGATATTATCCCTAGCAACGCTTAGGAAAGAGTTTGCAATCTAGAGGGAGCAGGGACACAAACCCCTTTGGCATCAGATGTGAACATGAATACAGCAAGTTGCTTGATACCATCGGTCCACAAAGTGCCCTCCCTGTGGAACGCCCTCCTGTCAGATGTCAAACAGACATTATACAACCTTCTGTAGACATCTGAAGGCAGCCCTGGGAAGCTTTCAATGTGTGATGTTCTGTTGTGTTTCTGTATATTCTGTAGGAAGCTGCCCAGAGTGACTGAGGCAACCCACTCAGATGGGTGGGGTACAAAAAATTATTATTCTTCTTGCCTACATTGACTGGCATTGGCTGTCCAGGGTTACAGACAGGGGACATTCCCATTGGGGACTGAACCCAGGACCTTCTCTCTCTCAGGTCATATTTCATAGAATCGTAGAACTGAAGAGTTGGTAGAGGCCACAAGGGTCCTCTACTCCAACCCCCTGCAATGTAGGAATCTTTTGCCCAACATGAGGTTTGAACCCACGACTTTTGAGATCAAGAGTCTCATGCTCTACCAAGGTGGTTGGGGCCGCACATCTGTCATCACAATGACCTGTGACTTTACCTACTCCATACCTGCTGGAGGGCAGGGAGGTATGTCTTGCCTAAGCAGACTCATGGGCCAAATGGGGAGGGCTGATGGTCTAAGTTAGGCCCATGGACCAGAGGTTCCCCGTCTTGGATTAGTATGTGTGTAGGGGGAGGTTCACAGAACTCTAGCCCAACAGTTGCCATTAATTTGATTTTGAATTGATTTTAGAATGAGTTGATTTTAGAATGCATTTTAATTAATTGATTGGGATTTTATGTGAATTGTGTTGCTTTTGTTGTTGTTGGCCGCTCTGAGCACGGCTTCGGCTGGGGAGGGCGGGATATAAATAAAATTATTTATTTATTTGTTTATTTGCCACGTCCATTGCAACTCATCACCTCCTCACCCACCCCCCCCATGCACACAGGATATTCTGGAGTGGAAAACATCCCGCACTTTCTTTTACTGGAGGCTCCGGCGCCTTCTCCTTGAGGACCTGGTCAAGAAGAAAATCCATGATGCCAACCCAGAACTGACAGATGGCCAGATCCAAGCCATGCTAAGACGCTGGTTTGTGGAAGTTGAGGGCACGGTCAAGGTAAATATGAACTCATACCTTTTTCTGGCTTACATCCAGCCCACATTTGGAAGGTCCTGCCTTTACAGTCCTCCTTCATGGCTATAAAGTGAATGTGTGGGGTCAAAGCCTGGCAGATTCCTAGAAGCTGAGGTTGGGGTGATGGGGAGCTGTGTAGAATTTCCAGTGGTCTGCAGACAAGGGGAAATCTCCTTTCTCTGCCCCCTCACGGCTAACAAAGTCAGAATAAGTTTATGCAAAATAGGCAGATTGAGTTAGGCGATGTGATTTGCATCTGTTACATGTTTGGGAGAGTTGTTTGTCTCTTGATCTGTTCCCTATGCAATTTGGACACCTCTTTACGATATCGTAACCAAATTCTGTGTGGCGGTTCCTAAAAAGGAGGAGCAGGGTTTTGTTAGCGCCTAGATAGCAATGGGTTTTGAATCAAGATGGCAGGCTGAACCTTTCAAAGTGAGCAGATTTGAACCACTGATTTAAAGAATGCACTTATTTCATTTCGGGGAAGGAGGTCCTTGAATTACTGAGAAACACCAGGTGCTTCCGCCAAGTAATTTGTACAAAGCAAAGAATTCAGCTGGTCCACAAGGCAGAATTTGGTGGACTCAATCCAGGTTAGACCTCATTCTTCCCAAGAAGCATGTTTAGGATGCAGGCAGGGGTGGAACACTTCCCCAAACAAAAAACTCCATTTCTCTCCACATGGAAAACAAAGATGTGGGTTTGTGTCTGATTTTGCCCAGTGAGTAGATTCTAAAGGTACAGAGGGATCTTCTATCACAGTTCAGCTTTTCTGCCAAGAACCGACACGTTAGATGCTTAGGAGCATTTTCCTTGAAGCAGTTGAATTTTTGGAGGCCTCACTCATCCTGCTCTACTACTGTACTTATTTCTGCCTCTTTCCAAAAGGAACATCTTCGTGTTCCTTCTGTTTATTTTAACCTGTCCAAGAGAGCTTGTTGTGTTCACTTCTCCCTCCCCTCACATCATGAACCTCATTCTCTGTTTTCAACCTTGGTTATATTTTATGCTGGACAGTCTCTACAGCTGCTGCTCCTTTGTCACAGACGTGCTGTTACGCCCTTCCTGTTCTGTGACTTGAAGGGCAGTTGAGATACATAGATTCATATCTCCTGTGAAGTGCTCTGGGGCGCTGGAAGAGAAAAATATATTTGGGGAAGGGGGAAATCACACACACACACACACACACACACACCCTCTGGAGGGCTCCAAGCTTTTGAAGGTAGTGTCTGAGCATATTTCTCTCTTTTTTTTTTTAAAGAAAAAAAAAAGCCAGGCATCTAGTTAGCTAATACATTACACCAATCAAGGAGAGTTATCTTAAGCCACAATTAATCTGCTCCCTGGCATATGTTGATAGGAGAGCATCATGCTGTTTCTTAATTAAAGGCAAACGGATTAAAAATGATTAATAAGAGTATTAAATATTCGCCTAAACTAAAAGTGTTGGGATTCTCGCGCAAATCCTGGCTTTACCCAGGTCTGCAAAGTGGCAGGCATTTGCAGTGTGGATAGGAGGTGGCGGTGCTAGGATGGGATGGGAAGCGGTGGGAGAGGGAGGGAGGAATTTCTTCCTCATTGGCTTGTGAAACATTTATTTGTATGCGGGGGAGCATCGCTGTTGCGTCTGGGGGTCGGAGCAGCCGGCTGTGGCTGCAGGTTTAAAATAAGAATAATTGCAAATAACGTGGCAACCGTCGCAATTTTATTATTTCCTGCCATCGCAGGATTTTAATAGATTTCATCAGGAGACTCCTGAACAAAAAGTTTACACCTTAGGTTAAAATTTTGTCTCCTGATTTAATTGATTAGTGGAACTGAGGTTACACAGAGGTATCCATGCCCTCACCTTTCCGTCTGCCAAATTTGATTGGGGGGGGGAGAAACTTGAGGTTGGGTCATTCACACAAGCAGATAGTTTGCCTTTTCTAGATGAAAAACCTGTAGCTCTTTCTCATAGAAGACAGCAAGCAACTGACACAAGCAACGTTCTGCAGAATACATCTGAAGGATGCATCAAAATCAGTGCCAACCCAATCCTTTAAATCTCAGCCTTCCATAATACTGATTGGGTTTGAACTTGTATGTTTTTGCGGCTCTTGTGGCAATGTTCTAGATTCCTAGAATACAACTTTTTAATAACTGACAGTAGCTTATCTAGATCCAAGTATAATATGTATCTCAAAAATGAGAAAAAGTCCTTACTTATATTTGCTTTTAAAAGGTAATATGCAAATTAATATAGGTCAGCTGATTAATCACCAACCACCACAAAATTAGTTGGTTGTCAGACCCCATTATAATTGATTTATGCAATATTTTCAAATGTGGCACGTATTTGGTAATCTGTGTTACCTTTTAAAACATTATTTACACTTAACCTGCTTGCTTTTGCACTATCAAGCCACTCAAGGTGGCTCATAGCCAGCAGGTAAAAAACAAAACAAAACACAATACAGTATTGTAAAGCATTACAAAATAACAGGACTGAGCCAAAATAGAGCAGGGCATTGTGCAAAAAAAGAAAAGGTAACACACAGACATACCCTTGGCATTTTGGGGAGGTGGTTACAAACAGGGGTGAACATGAAGCTGCTTCCCCAATTTCCATTCAGACAGCAACAGCATCTACCCCTTTCCTTTAACCTTGTGAAGCCTGTGGTTATGCTTCATCCTCCATAACAGGCATAGGCAAACTCGGCCCTCCAGCTGTTTTGGGACTACAATTCCCATCATCCCTGACCACTAGTCCTGTTAGCTAGGGATGATGGGAGTTGTAGTTCCCAAAACATCTGGAGGGCCGAGTTTGCCTATGCCTGCTCTATAAGCCTGGGCTGATGGTCTAGTAGAGAGCATCTGCCTTGCATGCATGCAGAAGGTCCTAGGCTCATTCCCCAGCATCTCCTGGTAGGGCTTGGAGAAACTACTGCCTGAAACTCCGGGGAGCCGCTGCCAGCCAGTGTAGACAACACTGAGATAGATGGACCAATGATCTGACCCAGTGTAAGGCAGCTTCCTCTGTTCGTTATACTCCATCCTTCTCCCTGACACCGTTCTGGGCACTGGTGCCACCACTGAAAAGGTCCTGTCCTTAGAGCAGGAATGGGGGGGAACCACTGGCCTTCCAGGAGAGTCAGTGTGGCGTAGTGGTTAGAGTGATGGATTAGGACCTGGGAGACCAGGGTTCAAATCCCCACTCAGCCCATGAGGCTCACTGGGTGACCTTGGAGTCAGTCATTCACTCTTGCCTAACCTACCACGCAGGGTTGTTGTGAGGATGAAATGGGGAAGAGAAATATGTACGCCACCTTGAGCTCCTTGGAGGAAAGGTGGGATCTAAGTGTCATGAGCAGATCAAACAGACAGATGTAGCTGGACTCCAGATCGCATCAGCCCCAGCCTGAAGGGACAGTGGTGAGGAGCTGTAGTCGGGCAACATCTGGGAGCCACATTGCCTTGGAGGGTAAATTTGTTCCCTAAAGTATCCTAAACTCACTGAGTGATTGGCTGTAGGTGAGCAGGAAGAGAGAGAAATTGTGTATGTGCTCTGTGCCAGACATGTGGCCAACTGAGCTTTTCGGAGCCAGAGGAATTTTCCAGGATCAGTGCAGTGCAGTATTTAAATCAAGACCTTCTTGCTGTTCAAGAGCCAGGCCTTGAGCCTCCAAATTAGCCTTCCTAATAGTCCTGCCAGAGGGTCACCCATTGTTCCTAGTTAGGGGAAGCTGAGGCTGAGAGATGATTTTAATTCAACCTGCCAAGGCTCTCTCAACAGCTTGTTAGGAAAAGCACCCTCAGTTGTCAGAGCCTTGCTCGTAATTTTGGGAGCAGTGAAAATCAAGATCTCTCCATCTCTCCCTCAATGTAAATACTGCAGTTGGTCCAAGAAGCACCCTGGCCAGCCCTGTATTGGTGCCATGAGATTTCATCATATATTTAGAGCGATTGTAATCACCAAAAAAAGAGGCTTGCACATAATTAAAGCCAAGATAGTTCCCTGCTTGCAGGCTTACAATCTGAAAGTCATGACACAAAAGGAAAAAGGGACAGGGACGGAGGAGCAGGCACCAATTCTTAATGTTAGCAGTTCTTAGTTACACCGTCCAGCCATTATTACCTGAATTTTCTAAAGCAGCAGCTTTGCAAGAGATCAGGCAAAAAATTATTTAAATGGAGAACCTGGGATCGCTCATGTGCTGAGCATTTACTTAACCACTCAACTGTGGCTTCTCTCTCCCTCTCTTTTTAATGATGCTTCCAACCATGATAGCAGAGAAATGTTTCAATAGCAATCTAATTCTGAAACAAAGCAAGGGGTTGGCTATAAAAAATGCATTCCTTGTCCCCAAACTTGGATTTGTTTTTTGAGATCCATATATAAA